TTAAAGATGAGAGTTCCACAGGACTGCTGTTTAACTGATTTCTCCATTTCTGAAGCACAAGTTCTCCATCATCTTCAGGGGCTAAATCCTGCCAAATCCGCTGGGTTGGATGATATTCATCCAAAGCTTTTGTACAAGCTCGCAAGCGTTGTGCACTACACTGGATCGCCACATTTCTGGTAGGGAGAAAGATGTGTGTTCGTGTGGGGTCTAGTCTGTCTTTCCGTCAGTCCTCAGTGGGGTCCCGCAGGGTTCGGTGCTTGGCCCATTGTTATTTTTTCTGTATGTCAATGAGCAAATGACCTAAAGTTTTGGCACACTGTCCGACCTCGATGGACCCCAGACTCTGCAACGGACCCTCGATAAATTTGGGAACTGGGCTGCTCTGTGGCAGTTGCCCATAAATTCGGCAGTGTTCCATTTTACGATTAGGGTCAAATGGCCCCCAAACGCGTTACCTGCTTGGCGGGAATGAACTACAGCATGTTTCCCAACTGGTAGACCTGGGGCTCACCTTGTCTGCCGAACTTAAATCCAGTGAGAACTGGAGGAAAGCTACGTGCAAAGGTTTCAGTATGTTGTAGGTGATCCGCAGGGCATTCGGGACCATCATGCTTTTGTCAGGCCACACTTGGAATATTGCATTTAGGCTTGTCCACCTTGCTTAATCAGGGATAGGATGTCAGTGGAGAGTGTTAAGATTTGGAACAAAAATGGTTCATGGACTACGAAACGTCTCTTATCCAGAAAGACTACTTGAGCTGGAAATGTTCTCATTGCATTATCGTCGACATTGAGACGACGTGATCTTGACCTATCGCATACTTACCAGTAACATCGGACCCCGATTTATCTGGGCTTTTCCAACTGACCCGGCTTCTATCTCTCCGAGGTCACTCAATGAAGCTACATAAACCTCGATCGGATAGAGTCCTGGCGGACTTTCGTTTATCGCGTCGATTGGTGGATTCCCGGTATGTACTGCCCAAGAACGTGGCATTGACACCAATGGTGAAAGAGTTCGAACACCGACTTGACGCCCTTCACGTTTTAGGTTATTCACCATATTGCATCATTAAATCTATTACTTTTTGGTTCTTAACGCTGTTATTACTTACGTACATCTGTTTCCTATTTCACGCGACCGGTGCAGCAGGGCCTGCCAATGCAGGTCGCGTGGGCATTATTTGGTTGACCGTGATGTGATTTGTGCGTGCTGATCTGACTCTTCTAGATTCCAGTTATCGTGGGCGAATAATACCCCTGATCAACGACACACCACGGAATGCACATCCACGGGAATTCATCCTACTATTTCAGTTCCACTTGAACTTGAACTTGAATCTCCAGGTCACTACAAATCTATCGTTTTTAACCTCTGCTTCGCTTCCGGTGGAAAACGCTATTCTTGACACTTTTTTGTGTGATTGTATGTTGCAAACCTCCGTATGACGCAAATCAACACTTCTATGTCGTGTGCCACTCTGTAGCGTGCCACACTGCTCGAGCTTTCGTGGAAAACAATGCTTGCATAAACACTTGAAACGAAATTTGACAGTAGCCAACTTTTCTCTGATCCAAGGTATCTTGGATCGATTAAAGCGGTTCTGGTCAAAGCTTCTTTGGCTCTTACTTGTAATTTTTCCAATTCTTTCCAATTTTAAACCCTTTTTGCACCCTGTTTTTGTCATTTTATTGAGACCATTTTACTATTTTATACTTATTATAAATTCGCTGTTTTCCACTATGTCGGTCTTGCAATACACCGAGGCTGTTGTTCCCAGAGGCTTGGATTCTAAGGCTATCGCACTTTGTGGCAATTCAAACGGCCATATGCCAGTAACTGACGATTACGGCGGCATGCAGTGCAATGGCTGCAACCGATGGTACCACACACTCTGCGTGGACCTGAATGCAGAGCAGTACGCAGCACAGGCCTCCAGTGAAAGGTTGCTTTTCACTTGTGCTAATGGTTGCAGCCGCCGGCAAGGCTGCTCGGACTTTCGTAAAAGAGACGAATCTCTTGTTGCCCGGTTGCGAACTCTAGCGGATTTGTTCTCCGTACTCTCAGGTCTTCACCGCAAGCTTGATCTGCTCATAACGACGCTTCCGGTCTCCAACAAGATAGATTTGATCACTTACACTGGAGATCAACTTGTAGCACCCATCATTGTGTCATCCGTCCAGATAGCTGCTTAACACAAACATGGAGCTGTTTCAGACGTCGTATTTAACTCTACCCCGATCGACGCCGAAGTGCTGGCTCAAGCGTCCATCAGAACAAAGCAGAAGTGCCAGCAAACCCCGTAAGTTCTCTGCCAAAACAAGAAGCTGTAGTTGTCTCGGTACCGTAAACAACCCAAGTGTCGTTACTTGTCAAGCCGTCTGATGGTTGTGCAAAGGCGAGATTTCCCACACGTACTACTTGTCCGTCGAAAGTGCCGGATATCTCGGATCTCACCGATAAGGCACCTTCTGACGGTTTACTTGACTCTGCTCAAAACGTCACGGGACCCTGCTCCTGTTAACAAGAAGAAAAAGCAGACACTGCCATTAAGCCTTTCGGTGTATTCGATGACCCGAAAAAATAAGACAGCGACAATGGGGCGAAAGGCATACGCTGCCGTTGCTACATCATCTGAGGGGATAAGGACAGTCCCATCACCAGTGGTGAAGCCATCTGCCCCAAGTGTCGAATCAAGGACCCGTGGGGTAAATACACCCCACCGTGGTCATTTTTTCATGGATAGCAGTGTTATATTCCGTGACGCGGCTGTCTTTCCTGTTGAACGCATATTGGACGACCTTCAGTGGTTTAAAGTGTGCGTAACGAAGCTTCTTCCATCCGGTTTTCCAGGCGTTACTGTCAGGAAACTGCTTAGACTAGGGAACGTCCCAGTTAACGCACCGAACCCTCCACCGCGGCTACTTCGTGTATTACTCTCTACCCCGGAGGATCGCAGCGCTTTCATACGGTTTGCTTTTATGCTGACAGCTACTAATATTAGTGTTCAGCCGGACCTACCGCTGACTGATAGGCCGAAGTTATAGGAGGCCATCAAGGACTTCAAAAGCACGCGTGCGGCCGGTGAACAAGGTCTCCGGTTAGTGACTTTTCGGGTGGTCAGCCGGTGGTCCTTCTCCGCCCTACCAGTGCCCGTTCTGGTAGCGCACGGCTCAGGTCTGGACCCAACGAATACCTTCAGATAGTGCTAAGCAATGTGCGCAGCCTAAGGAATAAACTGTACGAGTTAGGTCTGCTTGTAGATGAGTCTCATCCTGATATACTCGCATTAACTTAAACGTGGCTATCTCAGTACATCAGGAATGATGAAGTACATCTCTCTGACTACGCATTATTTAGATGCGATTGCTCCGTTGGCTGGCAGGGACTAGGCATCGCTCTTTATGCCAGTTGTAAACTTGACGTTTTGAAGACTTACTTATTTCAGTCGGCAGACAAAACCCTCGAAGCTCTGTCGACTGGGATTAGTACATCCTCAGCTCAGGTTACACTTGTCATTGTGTATAGAAGTCCTGGGATCGTATCTGAAAAGGTGCTTGATTTTATCCGCTTCCAGTCCGCAAACAGGTATTTGGTGTTGGGCGACTTCAACCTTCCGGAGGTTTGCTGGGCTTAACTTTCTTGCAACTCAGCGTTAGACACACTCGGCGCTGAACTACTGGAGCTTACGCTCCAAGTACCGTTGCATCACTTTGTTGATCTCCCCCTATGTACATGGACGCTCAAGTACCGTCTATACTAGATCTTGTGTTTGCTAAGTTACTTGACTTTGTTGGTGATATTACTTACGGACCTCCTGGGTTCTAGTGCTCATGTTCGTTTTGCGTTTCAGTCGTACTCTGTTTAGGGGTTCCCAACCTTTTTGAGGCCGTTACCCCCAGAACGGATTCACTTTAAGCAGTTACCTCCAAACTTTCTGAAGCCAATCAGCTAGCAACTACTGCATTTTTTCTTTAAATTACGACAAATGGATACCATATGTAATTACTTTCGATAATGCAAATAGACGAGACCCCCATTGTAGTGCGAAGAAAATCCATTAGTTTCATTAAGTACCGCATTCTAAGTATTCTTGCTGGTGTTCTGAACGCGACTTTGATGGTGCTGTTAGAAAGCGATATCACACTTATCCTTAACGCATGTTGCTGTACACCGACGATTCTTAACATTTTTGAGGCTCACACAAGTGGGGCTTGCTATAACCAACCCGCCCCCCACCATTTTCCATTTTAAACGCTGACCAGCGAATAACTATCGCGCTGTTTGCTTCTAAGCACGGGAACTGATAGCTATTTGCAATAACTCTCGATCAATAAAAGAAAGAAAGCAGTTGTTTGGTACAACATTGTATGTAGTCAAGAGGCGATATACATCAATGGGACGGTTGATGTTGCTTAGTGCTAACAATTTCTCGTATATTTGGTTCAGTTTCTGCTAGTGCACTTCGGAAGTCCTGCTCCAGGTTCATTCAACTCCTTGCTTTTTTCATTGCAACCATTGTCGAAAATCCACTTTCACATCTAAGTTGTTGCAAATGGGATCAATATTCTTAATGCTCCTTCCGATAGCAATGGATATTCACCACCTATCTTTATCAAAAATGCTACCAGTGGTGTGCTTTGGAAGTCTATTTTTTATTCCTTATCTTCGCGCATTGCTAGGAATTGTGCTTTGGCTTCGATGGCAGTATCCGGAAAAGGGTCTTAGCACCCAGGCATTTACTTGGCGATTTTCCAAATCAGGAAATGATTTGCTGATGCAATGGACCACTGATGACAAGTGGCAAGTTATATCATTTGGGAAAGCGCATGTTTCATTTCTTCCAGCGAGCACCATTGATAGTTCTGGAAACATCGACACATTGTCAACTGTTGCTCTGCGTTGGTGAAGCTGGATTTTACGAATAAAACTGGCAACCTTATCCTGAGCAGTTAAAATATCAACCATATTTCTTAACAAGCTGAGGTTCAGTGCATTTATTTCTCCGAAGAAATTTGCAAGATATGCTAGTTTGGAAATAAATACGTTGTCTGTTATTATGACGTGTAACCCGTTCACCTTACCCTTATGCAGCTCCATCCTTTCAAGAAACATTTCAATTTATTCTCGAAGCTCGAGCACTCGGTGCAACACCCTGCCTCGTGATAACCAACGCACTTCCGTGTGCAATAACAACACGTCGAATTTGCCTCCAAATTCACTGCACAACTCTGAAAACTCTTGCATATGAAATAATTTGGAACCCTGGTAGCCCTGCTTGGTTGCTCACCTGTTGATATGTCGTACTACCGCGAATGACATTATTCTCACTACGTTGGTTAAGGTGTCCGACAAACCAGGCGGAAGCGTTTTCACTGCTAAAGCATAACGATGTATTATGCAGTGGTTGAAGATACAGTGCAGAGCAAATTTTTGGACTAACGTTTGGAATCCAGAACGGACGCCCAACATAGATGGTGCTCCGTCTGTACAGACCCATCTACCTCGACCACTGTAGATCCTTTTCCTCGACAAAATACTTCACTGTTCGAAAAACATCTTCACCACGTGTAGTTGTGTTCAATGATTCTGAGAACAATTACTCTTCTTTGAAGCGGTCGCCTTTTATGTACCGAACATAGACCAGTAGCTGGGAACAGAATACAACGTCGGTCGACTCATCTAACTGTATTGCGAAGAAAGGACTTGACTTTATTTCGTTGTGCACTTTATTCAAAATATTCTTGCTCATATCCTCGATACGACTTTTGATTGTGTTGTTAGAAAGTGATATCGTGCTTACCTTTTTTGCATGTCGCTCTCCAAGAAAGATCTTCACGGCATCCATTATGCAAGGTTTTATGAGATCCTCTCCTATAGTATGCGGTTTCTTGTTTTTGGCGATTTGGAGAGAGATGCGGTACGACACTTCAAGACCAGCTTCACTTGCCTGAAAAAAGGAGCTCGATGTATCCAGGCGCGTACTTTCGAGTGCAGCGTCTTTCCGTTTGAAGAATATAATATCTTTTCCTACAAACTGAGAATGACTTCGGTTGAAGTGCTCTTTCAATGATCTGGGTTTCATGCTCTCCCCCATGAGCACTTTGCTTCACAAAACATTGCAGCTTCTCAACATTTTTATCGACAAAATTGGTGAAGCCCCATTACAGAAAGGCTTCCTTGTAAGGACCACTTTTCCAAAAGACATGGTTCCTGCAAAAAAGTTAGGCAAGTGAATGATATATATATATATATATATATATATATTCGTGATTTAATGTAGGTGACATTATCATAAACTTTTGCAGATAATCTCATTATTGTCGATATCAAAACCATTGAATTAAATCACTCACATGCTATGGTTTCTTGTCGAAACTAACTGTGGATGAATTTAATCAACCCAACACCCACTGGTCACTGGCGTCCAATCCGCTGATTCTGCCTTTTTTGTGACCCAAAACGCGGTATTCTGCGCACTTTTAAACGCCTGCTATTATCTGCATTCAAGGCATCATATGACCCTTTCGTGTGTGATTCATGATCAAACATGAACATATATCAGTGCCTTCTCACGTGTTGCATTCCTCCATTCCAAGTCATTCCTGCATGATAACTTGACACCATCACTCTGTATCGATACGTGGTGAACGCTAATCGCCCGTTTTGACCCTTCTAACCTGGAAACAACTGCGCGTCACCTTTCCTGGTCGTCTGACCAAGGCTCAACTACTAGTTTACAATCGACTCCGTAATTCGACCCGGCGATCGACTGCCTGACGATAGCCACGGGAGCTGATAGAGGCGTCATCTGGTTGCAGTGGCTAATGACTGGTCACTGATGGCTAATCCAAAGTGCATAGGTAGTTAGCGACATGTTTTGATACGGATGATTTTGTTATTAAACTTGTTTAGCGACCGATTGATGACCCAATAATCGTACTAATAATTATTCCCCCGCAAAATGGCATTTTACCCCTTTGGGGGTAGTTACCCCCACCTTGGGAACCCCTAGTCTAGACTCTACCAGAGTACTGTTGAGTCGCCCGAACATGTGGCACACAGACTAGCGATCAATGAGAGCCAAGTCTTCGGGTTTCCATTATGAGATCTCAGGCGAGGATACTGTCCAGGTTGCCTGGGATAAATTTATTTCCTACCTCGCAGAAGTCTCTGCTCCCTTCATCCCAGTCACAAGGAAAAAGGAGGCACGTGCACAGCTGTCCTGGATAGATTCCACTGGCAGGCATCTGCTCACAAAGATGTCTTAATGTTGCCGGACTTACTAAAATGCTCCATCCACCGATACTTATGATAAGTACAGTAAGGCTAGAAACGGATGTAAGCGATGCCTAAGGAATTCTCAACTCAATTTCGAGAAAGGGTTAGCAGATGAAGCTTCAGAGAACCCAAGAAGATTCTTCGCGTATGTCAAAAGGCGCTGCGGTTCGAACACATCGATTCCAGTGTTGATGCGTGATGACAGTACTCATGCTCATACGGACTATGACAAGGCCTGCGTACTTAGCGGGCAATATGCATCAGCGTTTGTAAGGGAAACCTCTGACAGGCACTGAGCTGGTTTGCAGGATCCCAGAGGGTTCGGGCCTATCTGAATTTATTGTAGCGGAGACCGAAGTTCGTAGACTGTTACAAGGGCTTAACCTTTCTAAGGCCTTTTGGCCTGATTTTATTTACCCGAAACTGTTGCATGAGCTGGCTGCGGAATTAAGTAGACCGCTCGCTATCGTGTTTCAGAAATCACTTGACATTGTGCATTATCTTCCGAATAGAAGGAAGCTGTCATATGTTTCATCTTCAAAAATGGGGACAAGGGTCTGCTTGCAAATTACAGGCCAGTTAGTCTGACGAGTGTAGTAGTCAAACTCCTCGAGAAACTGGGGAGACATTCATTGGAGAGTCATCTGAGTAGATTTAATCTACTTGCAATGTGCAACACGGATTTCGGAAGGAATTTTCATATCTGACTAATCTACCGGTGGCTCGCGAATGTTGGGCGAATGCAGGGGATAATGGCCACACTGGAGTGCTTTTCGTCGACTTTTCGAAGGCATTTGACAAAGTACCCCATTTGAGGCTCGCGCAAAAGCTGACCTCCTACGGGGTATCTGGCCGCGCCCTTCATTGATTGACTACCTTCTTGTATGGTAGAGAACAGTGTATAGAGGTAAGCCGTGGCCTGTCATTTAGGCAATCGGTTCTTAATAACGTGCCGCAGCGCTCGGTCCTTTGACCGCTGCTGTTCTCTATCTTTGTCAATGACCTACACGCGGACCTTGAGGTACCATCGCTGCTATTTGCTGATGATCTAAAAGTTGGGAATATTGTCGATGTTATTGGGGTTCCGTAGCTATTCAGCGAGCCTTGGATAAGCTTTGGGATCGGTCTACTCTATGCTTACTGCCCATAAATTAGGCAAAGTACCGTTTTTCGAATTGGAGGTTGTCCTCCTGCGAAATACTTCGTCGGTGGGACCGTAATCTCTCGTGTATCTAACTAGGTTGACCTAGGCGTCCTACACTCTTCGACTTTACACTTTGGCGACAATTAGAAGAAGGCCACAAGCATAGGTTTCCACATGTTGTGGTTAATACGCCCTTCTTTCGGAATGTTGACGGGCGGCATCTTTGCGAGGCTGTTCTCGGCTTTCCTTCGGCCTCATCTGGAATACTGCGTCCGGACTTGTCCGCGCTGCCTTGTCCGGGACAAAATGAACCTAGAGGGGCTTTTACGGGTGGGTACTAGGTTAGTTGAAGGATTACGGGGACAGACACCCCGAGCGTCTACTTGGTTTAGGAATGCATTCAGTGCACTACCGAAGGCTTAGAGGAGACCTAATCCTAACCTGCCGTATTTTAACTGGGAAGATTGGTCTAGCTTTATCTTGGCTATTCAGTCCCGTTAGATTGTCTGTCCTACGCGGTCATTCCATGAAGCTAAACAAACCGCGGCCCGATTGGATCAGGGCAGAAATCCGGCTGTCACGCTGAGTCATCGAGCGCTGGAACATGCTTCCGGAAATTGGTATAAGGGAATCTACGGTTAAGGGCTTGGAGCGACAACTTGACGCTCCTGGGTAGCAGCACGAATCATTCCTCTTTTCCTGAGTAACTCGCATCTTCCTACTTCAATTTTCTTTCCTCTATTTATCTTCATGCGTTGGTATTATCCTCTCACTTCAAGTGAACTTCCTTATTCTGAACTGATTCCTCTTCCTATCCTTTGCTTACTTCACGTGACTGCTACAGCAGGGACTGCTAGGGCAGGAAACGTGGACTTTGATTGGTTGGCCAGGGTGCGATACTGGTGTTCTGTTTTAGCTCCACCAAGAACTCTGAGCACTTCATCAGTTTCTGGCTCAACGACCCACTCAAGGGGGGAACACTCACGGGATTCTCCTATCGTTCCAGTCTCACTCGAACTTGAACTTGTTTAGAAATGCACGCACTCCATTGCACACTTCATAATGGCGGCCGAAGGTAACCAGCGAAGCTAATCACTCGTTCCAAATGGACTGGGAAGGCGATGATATTCTCTGCAAGGAGGGTGAAAAACCTGCTTCATGCAAAATATGGTCGCACATCATTTGTTGTAATATATATGTTAAGTGGCGTCCACTGCTCCAGTTTGCGGTTAAAACGTTGCGGAGTGTCTTCAACATCACATGATGACCTCCATCGTCAACAGCCTTGTTGAGGAATTGATTTGCCTACCCGGTATGCCCTTTATCGTGCGGTTACCAGTAAGCTGTGTGCGTATGTAATAATTCCATTCAGGTTCCATTTCGCGCTACAGTTTGCTGTATGCAAGAAGTCCGGTAATGGATCCGACTAGTGAAAACCCGATGGCGGTACGAAAAGGAGAGAAACTACTGTATTATTCGTAAATATATAATGCACTTTATGTGAAAAATGTGTATTTTCCACGCAAATGAGTACGGTAAATCGCCAAGCATGTCAGCATATAGCAAGGGAAAGAGGACGATGGCGCGTTAACGCAGAGGGACATTTGAAAAAATGCATTAGAGCGAGGGAGTTATGCTGCCTATTTTTTTCTGGGTAACCGAAAATTGTCATTCCGAGCTCCTTTTCAGGCTCATTTCGGTGGCCCATCGGACGCACTTCGGTCACCTATTGGTCACTCGTGCTTATTGAGATAGCAGCACTGTCTCCATCTCCTTGTTCGCTGGAGGGGAATCTTACGGTCTTCATGATTTGCGAGGGCTTGTTTCGTCCATGAGTCCACTACTCCATTTGTTAGGTGATCCTCCTAACAGTTTCCCACCATAAAATTCTTGTTTTGCGGCACTGCAAAAGGTTTCCTTAGGTCTCATCGGTTTCATTGGAATATTGAGAGCATGCTGTTACCTCCACCTCCTGGAGGAAGTGGCAAAGAAACGCTCCGTCTCACCTGCCAAACCGACCGAAGCTGGTGTCGAGTCGAAGGCTTGTGAAGTTAATACGCCTCGTCTAGACGATTGTTTTACTGATAGCTGCGTTATCTTCCGTAACTTTGCTGAATCCGCGGTAGCTCTTCCCAGGGAACACATGCTGGATGACCTACAATGCTTCAATCTCTGCGTCACCAAGATGCTTCCACCTGGTTTCCCTGGTGTCAATATCAGAATCTAACCGGACTGGGGAACATCCATGTCGATACGCCAAATCCGCGATCCCGACTAATTCGTGTAGTCCTCTCAACCCCAGAGGATTGCAAAGCGTTACTACGCTTTGCATTCAAACTCAATGGCAGCAATGTCAACGTTCAGTCGAACCTCCCACTGGCAGATCGACTGAACAGGTGATGCGCAAGGTCTCCGTCTTGTGGGTTTTCAGGTTGTCAGCTGGAAGTCAAATTCTGCCCTACCAGGACCACTCCCGATAGCGTACAACACAGACCTGGTCGTGTCAGATTCTTTCGGCTAATGCTTAGCGATGTGCGTAGCCTTAGGAACAAAGTACACGAGGTGGGTCTACTTGTATACAAATCTCGTCCCGACACTTGCTTTCACTGAAACGTGGTTGTCCCCGGATATCACGGACAGTGAAGTATGTTTACCTGGCTGCTCACTGCTTAGATGTGGTCGCTCCGTTAGCCGCCAAGATGGAGGCGTCACACTTTATGTGAGCTGTAAACTAGATGTCTTGTGGACCTGTATTTTCCGCTCACCGGATCTAACTGATGTGCCTCTGTTGACTATTGTATGC